CCAAGAAAGTCAATGCAAAAAGATGTGAGGATCACAGACTCATTAGCCTGATGAGTCACACTTTAAAGATATTCTTAAAAATACTACATCAAAGATTATACAAAAAATGTGAATGGGACATCAGTGATTCCCAGTTCGGGTTTAGGCAAGGTTTAGGAACACGAGAAGCAATAGTAGCAACACAGGTACTGGTCCAAAATTGTTACGATCAGAGGAAGGATGTGTTCCTATGCTTTTTAGATGACAAAAAAGCGTTTGATCGTGTCCAACACCACAAGTTAATGCAGATTCTCAAGAAAGTTGATATAGACCAAAAAGACATAAGATGCATTGAAAACTTGTACTGGCATCAAACGGCACAGCTAAAAATAGACAATTCTATATCTAAGCCCATACATATAAGAAGAGGCATTCGACAGGGATGTGTGCTTTCCCCTCTTTTATTTAACATTTATTCAGAAGCCATATTTCAAGAGTCTTTGGAGGATGCAGAGATGGGAATCAAGGTGAATGGAGTATTGATCAACAACATAAGATATGCTGATGATGGTGTCTTAATTTGTGACAACATAGTCGATCTTCAACAACTTGTCACTATAATCGGAGAATACAGTGAGCGGATGGGACTAGAGATTAATACCAAAAAGACCAAATTCATGATCATCTCCAGAAACTTGGATGCATTTGAAAACTCCACCATAACACTGAATAGTAAATCCATAGAAAGAGTGAGTAAATTTAAATACCTGGGATCGTGGCTTTTTGAAGACTGGGCATCGGACAGGGAAGTAAAATGTCGCATTGAGCAAGCTCGACAAGCTTTCGTACAATTCAAGAAGGTACTGACTTGTTCTGAGTTCGATCTTCAACTGAGACTAAGGTTTACTAAGTGCTACGTATGGTCAGTGCTGCTAAATGGCGTAGAGGGCTGGACACTCAAAACGAGGGATATAAACAGATTGGAAGCTTTCGAAATGTGGCTTTATCGCCGTATCCTAAAAATACCATGGACAGCGAAAATCACAAATATAGATGTCCTTAAAAGAATAAACCAAGAACGCCAACTTTTCGAAACCATCAAGAAAAGGAAAACGGCGTATCTAGGTCACATCATGCGAAATGAAAAATACCAGTTCCTTCAACTTATAATCGAGGATAAAATTGAAGGCAAGAGAGGAATGGGACGCAAGAAAATGTCCTGGCTCCCAAACATAAGGCGATGGACAGGGATTAACGACATACAATCTCTGATACATATTGCAAGAAATAGAGAGTTAATGGAAAATGTGATCGCTAACATCCATTAGTGGATTTGCATCTGAAGAAGAAGAAGAAAAACTGAGGCAGAATGGAAAGCTATTGCAGAGGACTATTACAATCGTTGGAACTTTCCAAACTGTGTCGGAGCTATGGACGGAAAACACGTAGCATTGCAAGCCCCAATAAATAGCGGCAGTGAATTTTTTAATTACAAAGGATTCTTCAGTATTGTTTTATTTGCCGTAGTCGATGCAAATTATAATTTTATTTATGCCAATGTGGGATGCCAAGGGCGTATTTCTGATGGTGGTGTGTTTAGTAGCACTGTATTCAATAAATTTCTTGAAGAGAATACAATGCATTTGCCTCCGGAAAACCTCCTTCCAAAGAGTGATGTAAAAAGCCCATTCATTTTTGTGGCAGATGATGCATTTCCTCTGTCTACAAACATAATGAAACCTTATGCAGGGCTTCACCCTAAAGGTTCTAGTGAAAGAGTATTTAATTATCGCGTTATCAGGGCCCGGAGATTATCTGAAAATGTTTTTGCATAATATCTAGCGTATTTAGAGTTTTTTCGCAAACCAATGCTATTAGAACCGACTGCACAACTTTCTTAGAAAAAGCGCATCCAGGAATATTTACAATCCTCCTGGAACATACATAATTTGCAGTGTATGTCAAATAAAGTCGATATGATCAATGCTTATCTTACGGATCAAAAATTATATGACGTCATATGTTTTTCGGAGCACTGGCTAAGTGAAGAAAATTTAAAATTAATTAACATCTCCGGATTCTCATTAGCTAATTTCTTTTGTAGGGTAAAAAAGAAACAAGGCGGAGTTGCAATTTATGTAAAAGAAAATCTTATGTATTCTTCTCTTAATTTAAATGAATATAATGTAGAGCAAAGTTCTGAGTTTTGTGCAATTTATGTACCTTCAATAAAAACCAATATTTTAACTGTATACAGATCGGGTAAGGGTGACTTTGACTTATTTTTGGTGAATTTTGAAAATGTCATAACATCCTTGCTTAGTAAAGCTGACAACCTAATCATACTTGGAGATTTTAATATAAATTTTAAAATTGAATCTGACCATTTTTTTGATATTCAAAATCTATTAACATCTTTTGGTCTAAAAATAACTATAAACGATTATACTAGAATCACATCCCAGTCCAGAAGTTGCATTGACAACATTATGACAAATTTTTCTGAAAATATCTATAGAGTGGGCGTATTTGAACCTTGTTTTTCTGACCATCGAGCTCAATTTTTATTTATTGATTCAGAGCATAAAGTTATTGACACTAATCAAACATTTCAACGGTTTATTACTTCTTCTGGTTTACAGAAGCTTAAACGTGCGCTAGCTATTACAAACATGGTCTTTTTCTACGATATTAATAATGATCCTGATTCTTTGACAGTCTTTCTTACCGAAACTTATAACAATTTAATATTACAGTATTTTCCACTAAAAAAATAGGACAAATGACTGAAAAAACACCTGTGCAATGGTTTAATAATGAATTAAGGTCTAACAGATCTAATATTTCTCTTATCAAACACATTGCAGAGGCTACCAAGGATCCCGATTTGTTCAAAGTATATAAACAACAAAAAGTTGAATATAATCGGCAATTAAAAATTGCTAAAAAGTCAGCTTACTGTAATTTTATTACTAATTCCAATAATAAACCTAGAGACTGCTGGAAAATAGTAAATTTCGAAAGAAACTACACTAAATCCAGTTCGGTACAACCTGATCTACCTCCAGACGAAATGAATCATTTTTTTGTACAATTGCAGAGAATATAATTACATCTCTTCCCACTATTAACGTCGATGTCCTCGTCAATTATAGAAATTATCCTTCTCTGAGCAAGTCATTTTTTTTTCGGCCCGTTCTGGAAGAAGAGGTATCTCAAATAATAAAGTCGCTTAGTAATTCTAATTGTAGGGACGTTCACGAGATTAATAGCAAAATTTTAAAAGAAACTTACCAAATAGTTTTAACACCATTTACTCATCTTATTAATTTAATTATATCCACCGGAGTATTTCCAGAAGTACTAAAATACTCAAAAGTACTACCAATCTACAAAAAAGGTGATTCCTCAAAAACTGACAATTACAGACCCATAAGCATTGTTTCTACTTTTGGGAAAGTGATTGAAAAGGTTATCAAACAACAATTTTATTCCTATTTTGAGTCAAATAATTACTTTAGCAACTCATAATATGGATTTAGAAGTGCTCGTTCTACTACGAACGCGGTATTTAATGTTGTGAGCGAGGTGATTGAGGGGCTTGAACGCGGCAATCGCATAGCAATTTCTCTTTGTGACTTATCAAAGGCTTTTGACTGCGTTTCACACGACATTTTGCTCCACAAATTAAATTACTATGGAATCAGAGGTATCCCTCTTAAGCTTATAACTTCTTATCTATGTGGCAGACACCAGGCGGTAGTGTCTAAAGGTCATCTCTCTGATTTTCTATCCGTAAAACATAGAGTCCCACAAGGTTCGGTCTTAGGACCTCTTTTGTTTATTATTTATATCAACGATCTGCCTAAATTCATATCTCCGTACAAAACCATACAATTCGCAGATGATACGACATACGTTATATCAGGAAAAAATGATGATGATTTAAAAATGCTTCATGAGGAAGTTTTTACTAAATCTAGCCCATGGTTTGTTGCAAACAAACTAAAACTTAACGCTGATAAAACGCAAAATATGGTTATATCTGCAAGTAATTTACACAATGATCTAGTTAACAAAGAGACTGTTAAACTATTGGGAATAACCATAGATAATCGACTCAACTGGTCTGCTCATATCTCACACCTTAAGAAACAGCTATCAAGTTCATTATTTGTTATTCGCCAACTAGCAAGGGTTGTCAACTTTGAAACATTAAAAATGACATATTTTTCTTTATTCCACTCTCACCTAAACTATGGTTTAATTATATGGGGCAATTCAACAAATGCACTTCAAATTTTTAGAATACAAAAGAAAGCTGTCAGGATTTTAGCAGGGGTTAGTTATCTAGAACACTGCCGACCTTTCTTTATCAAATTCAAAATTATGCGTCTACCTACTCTGTTGATATTTCAAGTTTTAACTCAAATTCACAGAAAACGTGCCCATTTAATAAAGCAGTCTGATGTCCATGTTCGCAATACGCGAAACTGTCACTACCTATGAACAAATCGCTGTAGATTAAGTCTTTCAGAAAAAAATAGTCTTAATTATAACTATTACAATATTTTACCTAAAAGTATAAAAGAGCTAAGCTGTAATAGTTTCGATAAAGTTATAAAAAAATATCTTTTAAAACATTGTTTTTACTGCTCAGAAGAATATATGACTCATTGCAGAACATCCACTGAACTGCTTACCGTAACTTTGCCATAAATATTTTTCTGTTTAATATGTTTTCATGTTTGTATTATTTAATGTTTTCTTATTTAATACTATGTATGTTTTTTTGACTTGCTACAAACATTATTTGTATATGTTATGTAGTTAAATAAATACTCTACTCTACTCTACGATGCTGACTGTTCTGACACCACAGACTTGATTCCAGGAGCTTGGAGAAGTGAAGTTTGTAATCAACCTGTATTAGTAAACTTAGCAAAAATACCCAGTAAAAGTGCACTGAGTGCTCTACATGTGAGAAACGTGTTAAAAGACTATTTTATGACACCAGGAGGAGAAGTGCCTTGGCAATACTTAAAGTGATAAAATGTGTATTAATATTATGTAGCCTAATAAAAAAGACATTGTAGGTGTAAAATATATTTAATTTATACATACCTCTGAATCCAACGTCTCTCTGGTCTTATTTTTGTCACGTAAAAATCTTAAACTTTCATAAGCAAACCATTTACTTTTGTACACATCATCCGTGCCACTGCCAGATTTATTGCCATTCTTTGTTATTTTTATTTCTCTTGCTAACTGGCTTTGAAGATTTTTTATTTTTTGTTCTACCACTTGCTTTTCTACGTTAAATTCACTGGCAATTTCCATCAAAGCATCGTGCCTCATGTTTCGATCTTTATAATATTTGCTTCTAGTGTTCCATAGATTTGTTTTTAATTTATAAGCTTCAATAAATGCAATCACTTTTTCTTTTCCCATTCCATTTTGCCAACAAGTACCAAACACGAGACTTAAAATGAGGCAGACTACACCGCACGCTCAAATATTTTTACTGTATTTTTATATAATGTCGAAGGTCGAACGTCGAATGCACAATGCACGTGCACACTTCCGATTCGACTCGACTACCCTTTGATTTTACCGACAGAGCAAGGAAAACCAGTCGACACGTCGATCGACATCTTTTGTCGATCGACAAAGTCGATTGCCGCGTACACACTCAGTCGAGAGTGTCAATAAACACAGTCGATCGACAACGTCGACTCAATGAGGACGCCGCTTTATGTGTCGTAACAGATGATAATAGAGTAAATTACATGTTTAATAAATTATCAAGTGACTCACTTATAGCAAATCCAGCATATCCTAATGAAAATTTTTTTTTTCTTTATGATACCGTTCATATTTGTATATTCAGACTTTAAACAAAATTATGTACGTAAAGCATCATTTCTAAATCTAATATACTTTTACAAAGTAGAGTTGACCAAAGTAACAAAGAGAACATACAAGTTAAACTATAAAACTTTATACCATAATACTTTTGAACGCCAAAATGTTACTTTTGTTGAAAATATATTCCATGACACCACCATTGCGTCCATCAATTCTTTATATGAAGGTACAAGTAATTTTCTTGAAATTATCAAAACATGGTGGAATATAGTAAATGTTAAAAATAAATTCAAAGGTCAGCACAAACTTAATGATTACTGTACTCCTGTAATTAATTTTTCTGATGATGGGAAGGTTAATTATTTGAAAAACTTTATTAGTTGGCATGAGAAGTGGAAAATGCTGCCTAATGGAATTGGTTTAACTAATGACATATAACGCTTTAACCCGAACTACTTCTGTATTATTACAAATAATTGAATACTCATTCTCACACTTTCAAATTGAGTATATATTATTAGGGCAATTTCAAACAGACGTCATTGAAAAAAGGTTGGGTCAATATAGATACTTATCGGGGTGTAATTATAATGTATCCTATACCCAAATTCTAGAATCTGAAAGAAAAATTAGAATTCACAACATTTTAAATAAGAATATGACAGACTTAAAATCTTGTAACAAAAATCCATCTAATGAGGACATATTAAATGATATCAATGTTGACATATCACAATTCCTTCATGTTTTTGATTCAAATTATTTACAAAATTATAAGTTGGATGAGTCAACCCAAACATATGTATGTGATTATGTAGCACTATATATGTAAAAACTTCGTTGTAGAGAGTGTGGGTACTACTGTTGGAGACAATTACTTTGATTATTTACAAAGGGGGGCTTATGTGTAGCTACGGATGAAATCAAATTTTTATACTTTCACATATGTGCAGTTTTTGAATACATAATTAATAATAAAGAAATTAATATAAAATTTATTAAACAGACTGGCATTGCTAGCCATTAAGTCTAAGTCCAAGCCAATCTAAGTCCAAGTTAAGTGGCCTTCAGACTGATTGTTATCTCTCAATATAATGTTTCAAATCAGTATCGTTAACTTTGTAAAATTTACTAGGTGTTCTTATAAACAGTAATCGTAAATGGTCCTTGCATACTGATTTCCTAGAAAGAAACTACTCTCAGTAACTAGCCTTCCTTAAGTAAGATACTAGCTTTGCACTAAGATCTGTTTCAAAGAAAATACATTTATTATCTGCAAAAATGGCATATTTATCATTGTTTAAGTATCATCTTAGATATGGGCATCATTTTTGGGGTTCGAGTACACCTGCCCAATTTAATACAAGGTACTTTTAAATTACAAAAAAGAGCAA